GTAGGGTACCTCTGACCGTGCCCTACGGTCTCTTTGGGGCGACAGAGGCCAAGATGGCCCAGATCATTTCTTCCCTCCTTCCACGTTCAACCCATCGGCTGTCAGGCATCCGCTCTACATCCTCTGTCTCCTCCTCGCCCCCCTGCTCTTGTGATCTCACCTGGGCCACTGCCACAGTCTCAAAACCAGTGGCCCTGCTTTTGCCCGGCCTCTCTAACATCCACTCTTCCTTCATGCGGTGGCCAGAGAGATCTCTGGAACACTTACAATCGTCAGGAGTGCGGCTTTCTTTCCATGTACCTAGAGAGCTATGCTTCTCAAATGTTAACATACATTCAAGTCACATGGGGATCTTGCTAAAACCCCGGGCTGTGATTCATAGTTGATCTGGGGAGGGCTGGAGACCTTGCACGACTCAGGAGCTCCCAGCCAATGCGGGAATCTTGGACCACATTAAGGAGGCACAGAGAGAAAAATCCAAACTTCCTGACCAAGTCCTACTGCACCAGGCCCCTTTTCAGCAAGCCGCCCCTGTCCTCTGTGACCCCCGCTTTTTTCTCCCGGTGCTGTGGCCACACTGGCCTTTTCATTCTATTCCTGGAGTGGGCCGAGTTGTTCCTGCCTCAGGACATTTGCACATGATGTTCCCACTGCCTAGAACGCTCCCTTCCCAGAGTTCCACCGAGCTTGCGCCTCCTCTTTAGTTAGATCTTAGTTCAAGATCAGTCAATATTTCTCGGACCACTTGAGCTAGAGAAGAACCTTGTACCTGGGGACTTGCTATTAGCTCTGGGCTCCTCCCCCTTCATGACACTTATCTTTCTTCGAATTTACTCTGGTAGCAGTATATTTGTTGTTAACTTCTTGTCTCCGCTCTCAGGTTTGTGCCACGTGAATTCGTTTCCTTAACCTGGTCTATCCCAGAGCCCGGCCCGAGGCGGGTGCCCTTCTTGCGCTTTCTGGGTCTAGGCAAGAACATGCTCGCACAGCTGTCGCAGTGCTGAGATGCATGCGGGGTTGTGCAAGCTTGGAAAGCTTCGCGTGCTCGGTAACACGCAGGTGCCTGAGGCAGAGGGAGGGGGGAGGGAAGAAGTGACCTCTCTGTCCTGACCATGCCACACGAAAAGTCTCAAGGGTCTGGGGGTGAAGGTCAACCCAAGAAGCACCACATAATGGACGAATTCACTGAACTAGGAGACGCTCACTCTGGAGGGCGGCGATGGAAAGTTAGTTGAGTTAACCAAGGCTCTTGGAACAGAGCCTGCGCTCAGTATCTCACCCATAAGTACAAAGAAATACATCGAACACTTACTCCGCGACCATCACTTTGCAGATTTCTCTCCTGTGCCCTCCATCTTGCAAATGAGGAGAAAGACTTTGAGATAAGAGAAGGCTTGCTCGGGGTCATATGGCCCCGCTCAGGGACAGAATGGTGAACCCCACTCCCTGAAACAGCTCCGGGGAAGGTTGCAAAGGCCCCCCTCCCTGACCCTTCTCCGCCGGCTCTTTCCTGTGCCCTCGCACCTGTTATCCCCCACCATCCTGGGCATTCTACTTACTTATGTATGATCTGTCTTCTCTCCCCAGAATATAAATTCCCGGAGGGCAAGCTTTTTTTTTTTTTTTTTTTTTTTTTGCCCGCTCCTGTTTCCTGGAGCCCAGAATAGGGCTTAGCACTTGAGGAATACTTCCTGAATGCTAAAGGGATGAATGAAGGGATTATTATTAAAGCCGAGCTTCCCGCAACTCCAGGAGGTGGTGGTGTAAGAGTGTGGCTGACAGACGCCAGAGCCCGCGGGGCCTCCGGGAGGAAAGGGGTGGCTCACTGAATGGGCAGAAGGCAGACCGTGTCCGCAGAAGGGGGACTGAGCGGCCACACGGAGCCTGGCAAGACAGCAGCCCGGGAAGAGGGGTTTGTCCCGGCTCCAGCTCTCACGCCGCTCCCCGGCTGGCAGTCACCCTTCTCGGGCTGCGGCTTCCTACATAAAAGGGCCCTGGGGGGAAAATGTGTCAACCAGGCCCCAGCGGCAAGCACAGCTTGATGTAAATGCATAAATAGGCACTTACCAAGAAACCTCTTGTGAATTGAGTCCGAAGTGAGTCATTCCGCTCAAACCCGACAGCTCTGGCTACTGAACAGAGCCGCTGAACCAGCCAGGGCACACTATGGGCCGTCCCTTGCGATAGTTCCCTGGGCCCACTCACCTTCCTCTGCACCAACCTTTTTAGTTTATTATTGTTTTTAATGTTTATTTATTTTTGAGAGGGGGGAGGGGCAGAGAGAGGGAGACAGAATCTGAAGCAGGCTCCAGGCTCTGAGCTGTCAGCACAGAACCCGACGTGGGGGCTCGAACTCGGGAAGGTGAGATCATGACCTGAGCTGAAGTCAGACGCTTAACCGACTGAGCCACCCAGGCGCACCCCTGCACCAACCTTTTTAAAGTTCAGGCTCCCAGACCCCACAGAATCAGCCTCACCGAGAACTTGTTAGAAATGGAAATTATCCAGCCCCACCCTCCAGCTACTGAATCAGAAGCCCTGAGTGTGTGTGTGTGTGTGTGTGTGTGTGTGTGTGTGTGTGTGGCGGGGGGTGGGGGTCCATCGCCCTGCCTGTTCACAAGCCCCTCAGGAGATTCTGATTCACAGTTAAGTTTGAGAACAGCGGTTACACAGTTTCAATTTGGGGGCAATTACTATTCCTGTAGGGGCCATGGGCTGGGCTAAGGTAACAGGGTTGGGGGCTTCACAGATACAGTACAGAGGGTCCTGTTTTAAATTAAGTGAGGAATGGAGTAGCGATTCTTAGTGGGAAGGGTCAAGAATTAGGGAGGAAGCCCCTTGTGTTTCAGAAAATCTTCAGAGGAGGGGTTAGTTTGCAAAAGCACCTTTTGAAGTTATAGTTTTGTATTTTAGTTTTGAAATTTCAAATGACATTAAAGGAAGGTTTAAAATTTTTAAATGTTTGGGGCACCTGGGTGGCTTAGTCGGTTAAGCGTCCGACTTTCGCTTAGGTCATGATCTCGCAGTTCGTGGGTTCGAGCCCCGCGTCGGGCTCTGTGCTGACTGCCAGCTCAGAGCCTGGAGCCTGTTTCAGTCTGTGACTCCCTCTCTCTGTGACCCTCCCCTGCTCACGCTGGCTGTCTCTCTCTCTCTCTCCTAGAAATTAATAAAACATTTAAAAGAAAAAAAAATTTTTAAATGTTTATTTGTTTATTAAAAACCTTTTTAACGTTTTATTTATTTCTGAGAGAGAGAGAGAGAGAGAGAGCGCGCGAGAGAGAGCAGGGGAGGGTCAGAGAGAGAGGGAGACAGAATTGGAAGCAGGCTCCAGGCTCTGAGCTAGCTGTCAGCACAGAGCCTGACGCAGGGCTCAAACCCACGAACCGTGAGATCATGACCTGAGCTGACTCAGACACTCAAGTGACTGAGCCACCCAGGTGCCCCAATGTTTATTTATTTTTGGAGGAGATCAAGACAGCGTGAGCAGGGTAAGAGCAGAGAGAGAGGGAGATACAGAATCCGAGGCGGGCTCCAGGCTCTGAGCTGTCGGCACAGAGTTGGACTCCGGGCTCAAACTCAGGAGCCATGAGATCATGACTTGAGCCGAAGACACACGCTCAACTGGCTGAGCCACCCAGAGCCCCAAGGAAGGTTTAACATAAACTGCCCCCCAGTACTGTGTGTGGACTTTAGGTAGGAATATGATGCTTAGATACGATCTCCTGTTCAAGTCTCCTTCAAAAAAAAGGGGGGCTGGGTGGGGAGAAGGAAAGACACAAGGAAAGTGCCCATTTCTCTGAAATGGCCTGAAAGATAGGAGAAACGCAGCATAGGATGGGCCTGAAGAATTCATGACATGGGCCGCACAGCTTTACTGAGCTCCTACTGCGGGCCCTGTGTTGCGTTTGGCTCTAGAAAGAGAATACAAAGATAAATTATTTAGCCACGTCTGCAGTCAAGGCGCTTACATTCTGACGGACATTTCTTCTGGTTCGCAGATGTTGGAAGTATGGATGGTGCGCTTTTGATGAAGAGTCCCGGCTCTTCAGTTTTGCCAACAGGACACACGTGACCCGGCAGGGGGTGGGAGGGGAGGGTGGCGGGATGGGTCGCGGCTTGAACGCCGAGTTAAGAGGCAAAGAAAACAGAAAGGGCCTGCGCACACAGGCCAGTAGCGGTATTGGGCGCGTGGCACCGCGGACGTCTGGGGCCATGATTTAGGCGATCTGAGGTTGGTAACAATTACCAGCATTTATCCAGTGATTCCACGTGTCAGTGATCAATTTAACTCATTCTTTATACGAACCCTAGAAAATAGGCACTATTATCACCCCAGTTTTACTCATGAGAAAACTCAGACACTCAGAGGTGAGCTCACAGCTCAGCCGTCACCCAGCTAGGTAGAGTGTGAATTTGAACCCAGGCTGTCTGTTCTAGAGCGCCCCAAGTGACAAGACCACGTGTCACCCCAGGCGTCTGGATCGGCCTGCTGCGCAGGGGTGGCATAGGGATGGGATACTTATTTTGATGGGTAAATACGAGCCTGAAGAAAGCTCTGACGCCTTTCTCCATTTCCTTTGGCGAAGACAATCGAGAGTCCGAGCTCAGCGGACAAGTACTTTAGGCCCCTTCCCACTAGATGGCGGCCCCCAAACCAACACAGAAATTCTGGAACTTCCACTGTCCCCATCTTCCAGGGTTCGGCCACTGCGGCAGAATTGCAGGAAGCACACCCTCCTCGCATCCAGGGGCCCCCGGCCCCTGCCCCGCCCCATCCGGGGGTCGTGGGAAGCCCCTAGGCCGGAGGCAGGAGTGGAGGGGGCGGGGAGACGAGGCCCTCCCGGTTCTGGGCGCCCGGGGGAGGAGCTGGCGTGCGGCGGCCACTCCCGGAGCGCAGGGGCGGGGCGCTCCCGCACGACCGGAGCCCGCCGCCAAGGGGAAGGCCTGGCCCGCCGGGCGCCGGGCGCGGACGCGGGCCCCGAGGGCGCGGGTCGGGCGGCAGGTGCGCGGCGCGGACTACAAGTCCCAGCATGCCCGGCTGCCCTGACCCGGCCCCCGCTGCCGCTTAAAAGCTCCGGGAGCCGCAGCCGTCGGGTCGCCGCGGCTTTCGCTTTGCCACCGCGGCTGGGCGGGCGGGAGCGGCGGGCCGGGCGGCCGGCGGGTCTAGCGTCCGGGCTCCGGCGGTGCCGAGGAGCGCTCATCGTCCGGCCCTCCCCACCCCCACCCCGAGGCGCCCGCGCCCCCCGGGCTCCCCCCGCCTCGGCCACCCAGCGGCCCCGATGCCGAGGCATGGATAGAGCGGCGCTGCGCGCGGCCGCGATGGGGGAGAAGAAGGAGGGTCGCGGCGGGGGGGCCGCGGCGGCCGCGGACGGGGGCCCCGGGGCCGCGGCCAGCCGGGCGCTGCAGCAGTGCGGGCAGCTCCAGAAGCTCATCGACATCTCCATCGGCAGCCTGCGCGGGCTGCGCACCAAGTGCGCCGTGTCCAACGACCTCACCCAGCAGGAGATCCGGACGCTGGAGGTAAGGGGGCCGCGGCCCCCCCCCCCCCAGCCCCTCCCGCGATGCCCCGGGGCGCTCCTTCCCGGATGCAGCCTGGAGCCCGCGTCGCCCCTTGGAGGCTTCCTCTCCCTCCTCCAGTCGCAGTTGCGGCAGCCTGGGGACCCAGGAGCAGCCCCTCACCTTGGGCGGGATTTGGGGGGAGGGGCGGAGTGGGACCAGGGGTGGAGGCTGGAGGAGCCCGTGGGCGGGGTGGGCTGCGCGCGGGCATCCCCTGCCTCCCCATCCCCGCCCCCGCCCAGTTTGCGGGGCCGCAGGACTCATTCTCCTCCTGAGTCACACGCTGGACTTTTCCCTGTGTGACCGAGGCGAGCCGCCGTGGGCCGGGGTGACGAGGAGCGGGAGGGGGGGCGTCCCCCGAAGTGTGATCACAGGCCCGCCATTCTCTGCCTTTCCCTCACGCCCCAGACTCCCGGCTTGTTCCTTTCTTCCCTCTCCTCCGGGATTTTCGTCTGCCGCTTTTCAAAACGCGTTTGCTGAAACTGCATATTTATTGCTCAGGCATTTGATGCTTTCCTTTCGCACAGCCCCAGCCTTTCACGGCTCAAAATACAGTTACCCACCGACTCCCCCACTCCTCCACAAACATTGGATTTTGGTTTAGGAAGGATTATGCTGGGGCACGCCGCCTTTGGTAGGAAGATGACACTGTTTAAGGGGTTCAGGGGGAGAGAGTCTCCGGTGTAAAGAAGAAATAAAACATGCAGGCCCTCCTCCCTCAAATTATAGCGGGAGGTACAGTATTAAAAGGATTTGGAAGAACCAGTCAAAAGGGTGGTTGGGTTTTCAGAATGGGGGAGGGGGGAGCTCTCGCCCTCCCCCCTCGCGCCCCCCTCCACAATAGAGGGAAACTAGTGCCTTCCCAACTAGCTTTTGTCCTGAGCCTGGAAAGACCGTAACATTCCAGGGACCACTTCACTGCAACCCCGACTCCAAAAAGTGGCTTCTTTCCGCCTTGCACGGGCACCTCTGGCTTTCCGCGATCTGGGGATGTTTTGTCTAGGGGAACCTTAATTTCTCAACCTAACAGGCCCCCCTCACCCCACCATTTACTGCTCATTGCCTCTGCCAGCTGTCATAAGCCCATCAGAAGCCCAAGTCCCTGTTTGATCCACAGTGTTCGCGGGTGACTTCTCTCCCGCAGTTGTGTTTTCTTCAAAGCTACAACACCGCGGACGTTGGAAGCAAAGCGTCTCACGAGTGCCGGCTATTCTTATTTTTGTTACAGTTGCCGTAGCAGGACTGACCCAAGGGCTTTGCTTCAAAAAGCAACCAGGCACCAGCAACACCCCCCCCCGTCCCCCAAGCTGTCCCTTCTTGCGTGTGTGCTGCTGTTTTCCAAGTGGCGAGGGAAACTGGTTTCTTCTTGAACACAGCCGAATGTGTTTGCCCAGCAAAGTTCAGTGTTTGAGCCGACACAATGGGGGGCCTGTGCGGCTCAGTTGTGGGAGGCGGATCATGCTGGGCCGGCCGCATGCGGTTGCTTGGACTGCTGTGTTACCGACAGGAGAGAGAGAAAGTTCTCTGCGTTGACCTCTCGGATTGTCCCCATGGGGCCCTGAAGAGCCCTTGGTTCCCAGAGTAGACCCAGGAGGACTGTATTCTGCTCATCCTCTGGAAACGGTATTTTGCCTTCTAGGTGCCCTGATTTCCAGAGTCATTCATTTTAACAAAGGCATGGCTTTGCCGCCCCCCTCCGAAAGCATCGCTGTTTAGGTCTGTGAGCTGTGTTTCAGGGGCCTCCCTCCTGGGGGTTTATTGGATGATGGTCTCTGACGGCCAGAAAACCCATCCAGAGGTCCAGAGGGAATCTGCGGTGTAAACGAGAACCAGTACCCAGCCCCGTGTTCTCTCCATTGGATTTGGGTTCACCTGACTCCGAGAAAAGGCAGGACCCGCTTTGGTTTTTTGGGAATGGGAATTTAGACCTCAGAAACCGGTTCCCTAAAGCTGCCTCCGGCTAATTTGAATGAATCTCTTTGCCCTGGAGGTCTCAGCCTCCTAACCTGCACTGGGAGGTTGGGGCGGATCTCCGGATCTCCTCCTGTAGGCCCTTGAGGCTCAAATTCTGTGGTTTGGTGAAGGGGCCTCAGTTGGGTTGAACCAGACGTTTGTTACACACGCCCCTGTTTAAAAGCAGTTGTAAAATCCAGATTTAGGAAACCGATAAAACAGGGGGGAAGTGTATTAGTCGAAGAATTCTGCCAATGGGGACAACGTGGCAGACAGTTTTGAACTCAGGTCTGGAGGGGGTGTGGGGTGGTCTGTCTGTGTGACCTTGGGCCAGTCCTGTGACTTTGGAACCTCAACTTTCCCATCTGTAAAATGGGGATGAGACGGCATAAACCCACAGTGTTGTGGGCCTGTAAGTTTGTGTCCTGCTAATGAAGGATTCTGCCTATAAATTTACCCTGGTGAGGGTCCAGTGGCATTCATGCCACAGGCCACCTTTAGGGGGGAAGGTACTTCTCTAGAGCTGGCTCTTGCCTCCTAGAGGCAGCCCTGGATTCCTTGCTCTTGAAGAAAGGGGCTCCCCAGAGGTCTTGGCTGATGCAACCGCACCAGACTGCTCCCAGGATCGAAGGAACCCCAGCCCACTCTGGTTTTCATTAAAAAAAAAAAAATTTTTTTTAACATTTATTCATTTTTGAGAGTGAGAGAGACAGAGCATGAGTGGAGAGGGGCGGAGAGACAGGGAGACACAGAATCCGGAGCAGGCTCCAGGCTCGGAGCTGTCGGCACAGAGCCCTCCACGGGGCTCGAACTCACGGACCGCGAGATCATGACCTGAGCTGAAGTCAGACACCTAACTGACTGAGCCCCCCAGGTGCCCCTGGCCCTCGTTAAATAAGCACTCGCTGGGAGAAACAGCACGGGGGATGCCTCTCGGAGCCCCTGAACTGGGCACAGCTGCTGGTCCCCTAGGTCACAGGCTGTGATGATGTGCGGGGGCGAGGGGGGGGGCCAGCGCCTCTGGCTGGTCTTGTGATGACTTTTCTGTGTGTTGCGGTTCAGGTTGGATTCAAGGGTGGAAGGAACCGGCGTTTAATGTTTGCCTCCTACCTGCCGGCCGGCGTGCTGGAACCTTCTCAGGCTCCTAATATTTCCTGGAAATCCACCAACCTTCACCACACAACTTTTTTCTCTCTAGGGGGGGAGGGAGGGTGACAGACTCTTGAACTTGGAGTCTGAATTTGTAAACAAAGCTGTGAGGCTACTTCATCCTTGCAGAACCTGTGTCCCGCCTCCGCCAGACCCTCCTGGGGGGTCTGAGAATTCCACGGAGGTGGGTCAGAATGTTCTCGGTCCCAGATGTGCTCAGTAGGGACTCCTGGCTGGCCTCGCAGCCAGCCGGGCCTGGAGCCCCATGCCCCTTCATTCCCTAATTTATTCATGCTTTGTGGGCTGAGTCTGTGCTGAGCTCCCGGGAGGTAGTGGTGCCTTGTGCAGATTCACCAGTGGCTTTGTAACTTTGCCCTCTTCTGCCAGGCTGCTAGTACTTTCCAGAACAGGCCAAGGCATACCCTCTCTCCACCTTGTGCTCTTTAAAAAAATTCTTTTAATGTTTATTTTTGAGAGAGAGAAAGAGGCAGCGTGAGCAGGGGAGGGGCAGAGAGAGAGGGAGACATAGGTAGGATGTGAAGCAGACTCCAGGCTCTGAGCTGTCAGCACAGAGCCCGACGCAGGGCTTGAACTCAGAAACCGCGAGATCATGACTGAAGCCAAAGTCAGACGCTCAACGGATAGAGCCACCCAGGCGCCCCCTCTACCTTGTGCTGTTATAGGGAGAAACTCCTCCCTATGCAAGCTGATTTGGAGGAATCCGCTCTTGGGGACCTTGCCCTTGGGCCTTGCCCAGGAAGGAACCTTGAGGAGCTGTGATAAGTACAGTCTGCCTTTCGGCCACTTCTCTGAGTCTCCCTGGAGCCAGGAGGCTGCTCTTCGGAAGGTCAGCGGGGCTTGCCCTTTACCCAGCTTGATAGTGAGGGAGGACAGAACCCTGCCGTTTGGAGTACTGAGTCCCCCTCCCCCCCCCCACCGTGGTCCCTATCCACCTCCCCCATCAGGCCCTCCAGGCTTGCGTGAACATCCTTTCACTCAACGTCCCTCGTGGCTGGTTTGCCTGCTGGACTAGCTGCAGCCTCCCTGGCAAGGATCCCGAGGTAGGCGGGGTGCTCTTCTGCTCTCCGGGGAAACTTGAACCCTGACGGGGAACCAGGCAGGTGAACCGTCGAGATTCCAGGAACATGGCTTGCCAAGTGCTCCGGGATGGGGAATGTGCCGGAACGGTGGGCCAGTCTAGCCTTCTGTTTTTGTGGGAAACATTCCCACAGTCCTGGTGTCCCAAATGACATTCCTGGCTGGTCTTCCCTTTCCCCACAGGCCATCGGCCATCGCTTCAGGGTGGGGCGTGTCCCTCTCTCCTGCTCCATTGTCATGGCTGCTGCCTCCCTCCCGCTGAGGGTGTTAACCCCGCCACAGCTGAAGGGATGCAGAGATGGGGCATTGCCCCCTTTGGTGTCTGCTTTTGCCTTGGCAGCTTCAGCCCTGGTGAACCTCGCCACCCGCGTTCCCCCGTGGTGGCCTGGAGAGGGTCGTGCACTTCTCTTCACTCCTTTCTCGCCACGAAAGCCACCCTGTCCTCCCCGGGAGGGGATGCTGGGGAGGGGCGGGTGGTGCTGGAGGAAGGCTGAGGCCCAGGTCAGTCTGAGTGTCCTTTGCTGCCTAGTCTGAGTGTCGTTTGCTGCCTGGGGACAGCGGGAATGCCTCCTTCCCCTCTGGGCTGGCCCCACGTCGAGGGGGCTGCACTCCTCACCACAGGTAATCTGGGTCCCCCTGCTGGCTGTGCCCTGGAGAGGGACTGCGAAGGCCCTGGTCCTTGGTGGCCGCGTCTGGTCTTATGCCGAGAGACACAGAGACCAACCGAGACCGCTGAAGCCGAATTAAGGGAGTCTTTATTACCA